CGAAATCAAAGGAAAATCATGGAGATGAGGCCAAAGTTTCTAGACAAGAGGTAGAGGATTATTATAAACTTCTTGTTATGATCACAGAGGAGAACAATGGCTGCAAAGAGGGGCTATACAACAGCTCTATAGTGTGTTGAGGGCTGGACAACAACTCTAACAGTGCAGAATTTTCTGCACAAATGCGTTCGGAACGAAACGCAATGGTGACCGTTCGAGGAGGAGTCCAAAGTAGTGATGAGTGGTACTTGGATTCAGGTTGTTCAACTATATATGACGGGTAGAAAGGATTGGTTTGTGAAAATCAATCAAGCCACGAAGAATAGAGTGACATTCGCGGATGACACCACTTTAGTGGTCGGTGGTGTGGGTGATGTATTGATCAAGAAGAAAGATGGAAGTCATTCCTTGATCAAAGATGTGTTGTAGATTCCTAGAATTAGGTGTAATCTCTTAAGCATTGGCCATTACTCAAGAAGAATTACACAATTCGGATGGAAAACAAGGTTTTGCGCGTTTTGACCGAAAAGCTGTTTTAATCCTTAGAGCACCCATAGCTGCAAATCGAACCTTCAAAATAGAGTTGAAAGTAATGGAACACAAGTGTATTGCTATAGAGGCAAGTCGTGATGAGTGGTTATGGCACTACCGTATTGGACACCTCAATTTTAGAGACCTCGACGCGTTGCAAAAGAATGGGTATGGTGACTGGGCTGCCCAAGATTAATTTTTCCAGCTGAGTTGTGTGAAGAGTGTGTGCAAGGGAAGCAACACAAGAATAATTTCATCAAGGATGTTAATCATAGGACCAAGGAGCACCTTGAGTTGGTGTATTCCGATGTGTGCCTCCCAATGCAAGTCGACTCGTATGGTGGAAATAGACACTTTGTCACTTTTATTGATGATTTTTAGTAGGAAGCTATGGATTTACCTCATAAAGAGGAAGGATGACGTGTTTGATGTGTTCAAGCGTTTATTGTCCATGGTGGAACGGCAAAGCGGTCACAAGGTGAAAATTCTCAAAACGGATGGGGGAGGTGAATATACCTCAAGTGAATTTGGGAATTATTATGATGATTGAGGGTATAGTGTGTGAGGTTGTTCCACCTTATACGCCTCAACGAAATGGAATTTCCGAAAGGAGAAATCTCTCAATTATGAACATGGTTCGTAGCATGTTTAAAGGGAAGAACTTGCCGAAGGATTTTGGGGGAGGAAGCGGTTTTCTACAACAGCCTATTTGTTAAATATGTGTCATACTACGAAGCTTGATGTATAGTTACATTTGAGAGTTTTTGGTTCGATTGCATTTCGACACATTCCGGGTCAACTTCAAAAGAAGTTGGATGATAAAGGAGAGGTAATGTTACTTGTCGGATACCACCCCTACTAGAGGCGTACAAACTGTTTGATGTGAGTAGCAAGAAAATTGTAATTAGTCGAGATGTGGTGGTGGATGAACTGAGGTTGTTTGACAGTATAATTTTTCTAAAGACAGCAGCAGAAACCGGTTTCTCAACATAAGGAAACTGGTTTCCGTCATGAAATCTGTAATTTGAAGGGTCTGAATTGGATTTCTGGATGCAGAAATCGGTTCCCCTGATGCTGGAAACCGGTTTCCACCAGAAAATGCAGAAAAATACAACAGCAGCAGAATGTAGAAGTTATTCTGATTCCGATTGAAGATGGGAAATGATGAGTCCAGTAGAAGACCGACAAGGTGCAGAGGTCTACCTCAACGGCTCTAAGATTGTGGAAGTGTTCCAAGGTAATGAGATCAATAGTGATGGTGATCTCATTCACTTTGCACTTATGGCCAAATCTGAACCGGTGAGTATAGAAAAGGCATTGAGCAATACAAAGTGGGTGTGTGCGATGAAAGAAAAACTGGAATCAATTGAGAAAAATAGTACTTGGGAGCTGGTTGATTTACCGGAAAGAAAAAAAGGCAATCAGAGTAAAGTGTGTCTATAAGGTGAAGGCAAATCCTAAAGGAGAAATTGTCAAGCATAAGGCTCGACTAGTGGTAAAGGGATTTTGCAGCGAGAATTCATAGACTATGATGAGGTATTACTCCCGTAGCTAGATTGGAGACCATACGGTTGGTTGTTGGTATCGTTAATAGCAAAAAATTTCTGGATGTACCAAATGGATGTGAAATTCACATTTTTGAATGGTCCACTTGAGGAGGAAGTCTATGTAGAGCAGCCCCCCCGGTTTTGTGATAATAACCAAAAGGAAGAGTCTACAAGTTGAGGAAAGCACTCTATGGTTTGAAACAAGCACCTAGAGCTTGGAAGAAACACATAGATACTTTTCTTATTGAAGTTTGCTTCAAGAAGTGTGTATCCGAACATGGTGTTTATGTGAAGTCAGATGCAAGCAAAGGTGTGTTATTATACTTTGCTTATATGTGGACTATATTTTTGATTACGGGCAACATGAGGAGTTTATTTCCAAGTCAAAGGTGAGATTATGGAAGAATTTGAGATGAGCGATCTTGGTATCATGGCATACTTCGTTGGCATAGAGTTTCACAAGTCAAAGTTTTGGACTACTCATGCATCAAAGAAAGTATGCTCATGAGATATTGAAGAGGTTTGATATGGAGCATTATAATACTGCCAATTCACCAATAGAACCAAGGTTGTAGCTGTCCAAGAATGAGGATGACGTTAATCCAACTCAATATAGAAGGTTAATTGGATCATTACGTTACTTGTGCAATACGCGACCGAATTTGGCATTTAGTGTCAGAATTGTGAGTAGATTCATGGAGAGACCAAATGTGTCTCATTTGGCAGCGGTCAAGAGGATCCTTCGTTACATCAAAGGTACTCTTGGATGCAGAATTCTCTTTCCCACGGCTGATGTGGGGCAACATGTGGCGAGTTACTCGGTTACACGGATTCCAATGGGCGCGAAGTAAAGACGATCGAAAGTCTACGGCCAGTTATGTCTTTATGTTCGGAGGAGCTCCAATCTCTTGGAGCTCTAAAAAGGAACCCGTGTTGGCATTCTCTTCTTGTGAGGCCGAGTATATAGCAGCGTCGATGTGTGCATGTCAAGCCGTGCGGCTAATGAATCTACTTAAGG